CCCCACCCTGGCTCTGGTGAATCCTCTTACTGCCCCTGCACCTCTGGCCTGCACCCCAGCTCTTGTATACAATAATAACTAAAGACAAATCATTAAAAAATAACTCAAATGCTGTCACAGTACAGGTGTACTGGGTCACAGCAGCAGCTGAAGTAAGTCGAGGCGAGCCTGAGTGGAGATCTCCGGTTTACTGGAATGCCTTTCTTTTCAGGGGGAGAAATCACCAGTAACTCTTTTCCTCACTTGTCACCTTGTCAGTGGAAGAAACTATTTTTTTTTTTTTGGAAGTATGGAAGACAGTGTTTATAAGTTGTTATATTGCAACAGTTTATCAGTTATAAATGATAGATATTGTCATGTAGGACATTACAAAATAGTGACTAAGGATACCTTCATCATTTGATAGTTCATCTTGTTTTTATATTCCATTTAAATATATATCAATGCATAGCAAATTCATTGATCCAGATTACATTTCTTTCTTTGAAGGATGATTTCATTTTAGCTCTGCAGTAAATTCTTTAAGATAAATTGGTGAAACTGGCTACTGGTGAGAAAACCGAAGATGAATTCTGAATATGTAACACAACTTTCATCACTTTAGATGAAAGTTAAATATGACTATATTGTGCTTGTTGAAAGTTTTTTTTAATGTGTTAATCTCTTTCTATTCACATGGGAAGAAGCTATTATTTGGTGGATTGGCCTGTGTTTGGGCTAATGTTTGGGTAAGACATCATCCCGAAAGAAATGCTGCCTGGCCAGTTTCCTGTCTTCAGGTAAAAAGGAGAAGTCCTGACTCCTGTCCAGCCCCTGGAGCGGGTAACTGCAGCCGGCAGGCAGACGGAGAAGCCAGACCCTGAGTGAGACCAGACCGAGAGCCAGTAAGTTTCACTGAGATAAAACAGGCAAGATGGCCCCAAAAGGAATTAATGTATATTAACGACTGTGCAAAGGAATTCAGGTGACTGGAAAGACCGCTAAGCACTGCAGCCAGACCCCGTCAAGCCAGTGAGTTAGGGGGCGGGGCTCGTGTGAGGGGGGCTCGGTGCCCCCCAACCCCGAAGGACCCTCAGGACTGTCCACTGCTTGTTCCTAGTCTCTGTGCCAGTGATACTAGCATCTGTCAAAATTGGGGTTACCTCTCTTTCAGCCACAGTGGGATAGCAATTTGAGGGTTTTGCTCTCCTGTTCTGCACCTGCCATGAGTGCCATGCAGTGCCTGTCCTGATTCTGGTACTTTCCTTGGGGGTGACCTCAGCCGCTAAGTATTTCATGGCCCTGGAACTGCTGTGCTTGCTCATCTTGGAGAAAGTGGGTAGAAGGGTGCGGGGTGCCTGCTCCCCGTCCAGCCCCGTCAGCTCCATTCAGCAGGGAGACCTGTACAAGTCCTTTGATTACTTTCCTCAGAGAAAATTCCGCACCAAGCTGAAGTGCCTATTAACAGCTACAACACTGGCAAACACGAGGAATTACTAGATAATGATGGCATTTTAATTATTCAACTGGGCATGTTGGGCAGCAGAACTCTGGCTGCTGCTGCTGCTGCTGCTTTTTCCCTGCCACAGCCACTCTGTGACCTGACTTTGGGGTGGCGCATTCTGATGCTCGCAGAGGCTCAGAGGCGTGCTTAGAAAGAACAGCGGAGTAAACAATCTGCTAACTCCCTCTTTCTCCTTAGCAGCAAAACAGCCTTATAAGGTGATATCCCAGGGGCCTAAACTACCCAGGAATATCCCCCAGGGACCTCCCCAATAGCAAACAGCTTCAGTTGTGACTGCGCTTAGAATATTCTTTAACTAATCTTCCTCCTAAACAAGCTGGGTGGCAATTCCATTTGCTGTGCAGAAATGAATCTGAATTTCCCTGTGGATGAAATCTGCCAAGAAATGGATGTCACGGGGCCTCCCTGGTGGCCAGAGGCTAAGTCTCAGTACTATCACCCTGATGACCTGAGTTCGGATCCCTGGTCAGGGAGGTGACTCACAAGGTGCAGCAGACCTCTCCTGTCTTCCCGCTGCTCCCGTCAGCAGTGGATTTTAGTTGGTCTGCCTGTTCTGCTCTCCACTCTGCCTCTGGTGAATTTTCTCACCCCACCCCCACACCTCTGGCCTGCACCCCAGCTCTTGTATGCACAAATAAATTACAAAAAAAAAATGGAGTTACTATATGGTCTGGCTGCCCCCCCTCAAAGTGTCTAGTCAAAGAAAATGCAATCATAATCTCAGAGATAGCTGTGCCCCCATGTTCACTGCTGTGTCCATTCCCCGCAGTCAGCAAAGGCCCTGCTTGCAAGCACCATCCCCTTGGGACTGTGGCTTTCCTGATGAATTTTGGGGGACACAAGCACTCGGCACAGAGCACAACTTCAGTAGGGTATCTATTGGGACGAGTTCTTACTCACCCCTATGATTTCATGTCTTTTCTTCACTCAGTTGCAATGGAGCCTTCGTTGTGAAGCCAGTGATCTGAATCTGTATTCTATGCCCTTGGTCTATATTTGCATTATGCACTCTAAGTTATTTTTGACCCATCGTAAGTCTTGAAACCTGTTTTTTTTTAAGTCTTCCAACTCTGTCTTTCTTTAAGGTTTTCTTGGATATTTTAGATCCTTTTAATTTCCATGTGAATTTTACATTTAGTTTGTCAATTTCTCCGCAAATGCACTGCCAGCATTTTGAATGTGATTGTATTACATTTATAGATAAATTTCAGGGATCAATGACACTGAAATACAACATTGAGTTTGCCGATCCATGGACATAGTCTATCTTGCCCCTTATTTAGATTAGTATTAATGTCTCTTAGCCTTGTTTAGTAGTTTTCAGAATTTTCCTTTTTTTGTGGAATACATGTCTCTAGCTTCCATATCCTCTCAGTGGTCACAAACGTCATCTTGACAATTCAGGACGACTCACCCCTTCCTGTGACTTCCAGGCCACACACCATGGCCTGTTCCTGTTGGGCACCCACTGGCAGCTGCTGTCTCCACTTTTACTTGCAACAAAGTTTCACGCAATCCAGGGTCTCCATCAGGCCTCTCAGCTTGTGTTTCCCTCTTGGATACACAGGAAACTTCTGGATGCTTTTCTCATAGCCACGTAGGGCTCCATGCCAGGTCACTGGATACGACCTTCAGTCATCTCTGGTTCCATGCTGTCTGGCCAGGGGACATCTTAATGGACCTTGTCACAGCCAGGGACATGAAGAAGCATCTACAGTTTAATTCCTCCCTGTTTTTTTTGTTTTCACATTTCCTGAGAGAACTAATTAATTGGGGACAGATGGAAGTAATCCCAGACTGAGGCTGAGCTCTATTTCCTTCTTTTTCTCCCTCCTTCCCTCTTTCCAAACTTCTCCCTGATATTCAGAAATATTTCTGGTCTCTTCTATATGTGTCAGAAAAACTGTTCTTCAACCCACACACATATTACCCTCAACTTTGTACCCTTAAACTTTCAGCCCTAAGCCCTTAAGTCTCTTTTCTTGACATTAAATGCCAAAGTATGTTGTGACCCCCACCCGACTCTGTACTGCTGGGACCCTGGGGGTGACTTCCTCCCTAAGGGGGTCTCACTTGCTCTGTGGGTCCCCTCCTGTGGCTGGCTGCACTTAGCCTCTAGCCCACTGCCCCTCCTCAGGAAAGCTCACAGGAGGGGCAACATTTACATTGGGGTTGGAGAGAGAAGTTAGTTAGGTGAAGAGGAGGGGGTGCTGAGGAATGCAACCCCTCTGGCTTTGGGGTGAAGACACAGAGCAAGAGGGTGAGGGGGTGGCCAGCGCTTGAGTGGGGAGCATGTGGTAGGAGCATAGACTCCGCCCTCAGATGGAGCCGGTTCGAGTCCGAGCACAGACTCCTAATAGCTCCATGTCCTTAGCTGCACCGTGGATACAAGAGTGTCTCTTGTTTGGGCTGAAGTGGGGATCATACCACACAGAGCCCAGTACCTAGCTGGCACGCACACACACGCACACACACACGCACTTTGCTATCATAGCAGGACAGTTGCCCAGGACTTCTGATAAATAGGGGGCAAACTTGAGAAGCCCCAGAGGTTAAAAAGAAAAAAAGCATCTTAATGAGACCAGCTCAAAACCCAGCCACACTGTTTATTTCCCTCTGTGAAATGGAGCGGCCAAGCCCCCCACCTGGCCAAAAAAAAACAAGGAAAGGGACCCCCTGAACCCCCCCAACCCGCCCCCAACGGGAACCCAACCACAACCCTGCCCCCCAAGCCGGAAGGAAAAACAAGGGGGCCGAAAAGCCCAAGGGGGCCCCTGAGCTTCCTTGGGAGGGGGAGCTGCCTGGGAATGGGCAGTCCCCCATTGCTTTGTACCTGTGGATATTGTTAGGGTGCCGTCCTCCGATGCAACCTCCCCAACCATGGCAGGGAGGTGGGCAGACCTGGAGTCAATATACCCCACTGCTGGAGGTGCCTTTCTGGAGGCCTTGGGGGTTGGGGAGGGACACAATGCCTGGCTTTGACTCAGGGCCTCGGGGAGTCCAGGGGGAGCTTGCAAAAGCCTTATAAATCATCTGGTTCAATGCTTTCATTTCCGGGTAGGGAAACAGAGGCCCAGGGTCATGGCAGAGATTACAAAACACAGAACGGCCCTGGTCAGACCACAGCAGGGTCTGCTCTGGCAGGATACTCAGCATTTCCTCCTGGAGGATTCTGTGCTCTTGGAGCTTAATGAGCACCCAAGGCCTGAGGGCCAGGGCAGCCCCCCATTCTTCCCTGCAAGAAGCAAGGCTTCAGCAGAAGAGCAGAGAATCAGAGCACACGTGGCCTTCCTGGGAGGGTGACGGGCCCAGGGACTGAGGGGGGCACATTGCTGACATCATCTAGGCCTTTTAGGGAAGGAACCACTGGGCGAGATGTGTGGGACAGGTTTCCAGGAACACCGCACTCAGGAGCCACAATACAGGGGAATTGGGGCAGGGGGTGGGGAGAGGCCTACAGAGTGCTGGGCTCCAGCCAGCCAGCCGGAGTGACCATCTACTCGGACGACTCCTTGGGGATATATGCCACATTGTCATAGGCAGGGGGAGGAGAGGCTGCTGGACTGGGGATGCCGAAGTCTGTGCTGAAGGCGCTTGGCAGGAAAATCACAGGCTGCAAGGAAAAGGAAAACCCAGCGATAGTCCTGGCGGGTTTGGGCTCCGGCCGCGAGGTGCTGCCATGGCGCCCCCTGGTGTAGGTTCTGAGAACAGCGCCCTGGCGGTGGTTCTGCAACTCTTAACGGGGTGGGAGTGGGGTGGGGTGGGCACTCCCTCCGCTTAGTCCCTCCAAATAGCTTCCCACACAGCTTCCCGGAGGGCCAGCCGCCCTCCTCAGAGGCCCAGGTTTGGGGTGGAAGTACATACCGTGTTGGCTTGGGCACGGGTGGCCTGGCACCCAAAGTGGGTGGCGATGACTGCGATGAAGAACTCCAGGATGGTGAAGATGGTAAGCACCGCCAGATAGCCCCGGCCTACATCCTGTGGGCAAAACCCACAGTCAAAGCAAGCCCTGAGTTCTGGAAAAGAGGAAAGGAATACCTGGCCTAGGCCACCTAGCCGGGCAGAGGGTGCGGGGCGGAGCCTGAGCTGATGCGGGCACCCTCCCCTCATGCCCAGACTGTCTCTCCCTGGCCCGGTGCCATTCCTGGCATAGGCCCGTGGGAGACCTGTTGGGATTGACAGGCCTGCCAAAGACCTGGGCCTGGGGGGCCACCCCCACTCCCTGGGCATGGCTCTTCATTTTCCACATTTGTACCTGGGGGCATCGGCTCACCCACCCAGTTAGTGACGCCGAAATCCATGAGCAGAATGGCCGTGCCAGCAAAGGCTGCCATGGCGCTGAGAATGTTGGTCCCCAGGCTGCTCCTCACCTGCGGGAGGGGGAGACAGGGAGGAGCAGAGGGAAGAGTCCAGGGGACAGGGCAAGAGGCGGTGAGGCTCCGCCCACACGCAGCCTTCCCTGGAGGGGGCCGGCAGCTGCAGCGTCTTCTTCGGACCCTTCTGCCTCCCCTGCCCGGCCCATCGCCCGGCCCATCGCCCTTCTCAGTGCTGAGCTGAGCCGAGCCGAGTTGAGCAGAACCACCCTTGTTAACCTGCCGGCTTCCTTGCGCACTTTCAGACACTGCAAGTATCCATGGTTTAGACGTTATCTATGGTTTTTTTGGGTTTGCCTGGACACCAGGTGTAAGCTCCTGGCTTGCAGGGACTGGGTCTCCACCGTCCTGCCCTCTGAGCCTGGCTGGACTCACTCCTGTTGGAGGCCTCAATCGCCTTCCTGTGGCCAGCAGAAGGCTCCCAGGTCTGGCACAACCTGGCCTGATCCATTCACTCCTGTGACCTTTGCCAGGTCAAATGGAGCACTGATGGTTTCCATAGCAACGCTGCCGGTAAACCCCCCCCCCCCTCTCTTTTCCTTGGGTATTTCTGAATGCAACCCCCACCAAGGCCCTGCCAGCAGCCTCCTCTTCCAGGAAGCCTTCGGGTATTTTTTCTTTCAATGATCCCTTCTGCTCTGGGCTGTAAGTTGTTTCTCTCTCCCGGGCACAGGACACAGCTGTGGCCACGCTTGGCGTTTAGCCGGCCTCCAGGAAGCTTCCGCTGAGGAGCTCAAGGAGCCTGCGTGGGAGGGGACCCGATGCCACCCGAACCCCCCCTTCCCCGCCCCGGACCCCCTTCGGACTCACCAGGCAGCTGGAGTGGTTCCTCTCGGCTGCCACCGACAGGGACCCAGAGATGATGAACTGTGGGGAGGAGGGGCCCCCCCGTGAGGCTCCACGGGAACCCTGGGCTCCTGGTGCGCCTGGCTTAGCTGAGAGATGGCGTTTGGCTGGGAAGTGGGGTGAGGCTGGGAAATGGGGTGAGGCACAGGTGTCCTTATCTCCCGCCCCCATCATTTGGGGGCCCTCTCCATGCCAGGCTCTTGGCGGAGAGCCTTCCTGCCTAGGAACGGTCTCAGGCTTATGAGTAGGCTGAGTGAGCAGGAGTCAGGGTGGGGCTCAGGCTCCTGCTCCCCAGGCGTGCCTCCCGCCCCCGGGGCCCGCACTCACGCCCGCACTCACGCAGGCGCCTCCCCAGAAGGGCACTCCGCCTTCGATGAAGAGCATGCCCACGTGGCCGCGGCGGACCGTGAGCAGCACGCTGCCGAAGCCCAGGTGGATGAGGCCGATGAGGATCTGGACCGTCTGCGGGAGGGGGCGGGGCTCAGCCTCGAGCGGGCTCCACACCGCCCCCTGCCGGCCGCCCCACACCCGCGCACCCCCGTCGGATTGCAGGTGCTCAGAAATCAACCACTTGGTTCTTTTGAGGGGACGCCATCATAGCAACCATGAAAGATAGTTTGAAGAAGGGAAACCAGCTCCCCACAGCTTTCGGGACACACCCGCCTGTTTCCATGTCAACTGGCTTTGCGCGCTGAGGGGGGGACGTTGGAGCTCAACCTCCCTCTGTGTGGCCTCCACCTACTCTCAGCCCTCCTGCCAGGACGCGTCAACTCATCGAACCCTGTTTTCCTTCCCCATCTCCCTCCAGCCGGCGGTCACTGTCTCCCTGAGCATCTCCCTTAGTCTGTGTCTGTCCTCGGTCCATCCGGGTCCTACACTGGAGTCTCCTCCCTCCCAGCTGAAATCTGGACTCAAGTTTATTGTCGATTTTTTAGAGTCAGTTTACCAGCACCCAGTGGGTGCATTTCCAGAAGTGGGGCATTTCCCAAAGATGGAGGCATGTGAGCTTCTGGTAGGTTCTGTCGCATTTCTTTCCAAATGTTATTGGTAACCATTGGACTCTAGAATTGAGTGGAGAAAATACTGGCAACCCTTGAATTCAGCCTCCCCCAATGCAAAACCCTTCAATGCCAACGTCTGACCTCCAGATGGACTCTGTGACCAGGCTCCCCACTCGCCATAGTGGACCCCATTTAAGGGCTGTTCTGTCTGTGATGACTGGATCACATTCTTGATCCTGGGGGACATGGGTGTCTTCTGTCAAGAGTGCCAAGAATTCGGGAATATATAGGCAGGACCCCTGGAGTCTTCTCTCCTGTTCTCTTCAGCTGCAGGTCTCCGGTCTCCTCAGCCTCCTTCCGGGGCAGGGCGTCCCAGCTGCACACGTCACTCTTCTCAGCAGGCCCTTCCCGCTTCGTGACTGCACATAAAACGTCGGCTTCACGTCCCCGTCTGTGCTAAGCAATGTGCTGGATGCTTTGTGATCATTACCTCACTTAGCCCTTATGTGATGAAGTAGCTCTGACCAACTTCATTTTGGAGATGAGGCAACCGAGGCTCAGAGATGCTCAGTCTGCTGAGATTTCTCAGCAGAAGTGGCAGCCTGTCTACCTCAACAGCTGTTGTTCTCCTCACTGTGCCACAGCCTCTAACTCCTGTCTATAATTCCCATTTTTTATGCTTTTCAGCAATTTGGGCTTGTCTTGTGGAATTCTGTGGAGATCGTCGGTTCCCAGGGTCTGTTCTAGGCTTTCAGGATTCCAGCAATGGGTGGCCCAGCCCTGTTCACTGCCCCTTCATGTGTCCATGGACTCTGTGGAGGCTGTAGTGTAGAATCCATGATTCCATTGTGCTCAAGCCCAAGCTCCTGGGTTCTATGAGCAGTGGGTTGAAAGCAGAATGTGAGGGCCAGGCCATCCCAGGGCAAAGGCTGCCACTCACCAGCTGTGAGGCCTTGGGCCAGTGACTTAGTCTTGAGAGGGCTCAGTTTCCTAATCTGTGCAATGGGTAGTTTTCCCTGATCCAGTAGGTGGCGATGAGAATCTGAGACAGTGCAGTCAAATTCCTTGGCACTATGTCTGTACCTCTCCATAAGGTGAGAGTGGTCATCATCACCATCATCACCATCACCACTATCATCACTCTCACCATCATTGCCATCACCATTATCATCACCACTATCACCATCACCATAACCATCACCATCACCACTATCACCATCACCATAATCATCACCATCACCACCATGACCATCATCACCATCACCACTATTACCATCACCTTCATCATCCCTATCACCATAATCATCATCACCATCACCATAATCATCACCATCACTATAATCATCATCATCATCATCATCATTTTTGTCTTCCATTGCTGAAGCCATGTTTTCATCTTCCAGGAGAAACTGAGGTCAGGGGATGACTGAACACTGTAACATGTATACAAACAAATTTGTACCCACATCTACCTACCTATCTATCTCCTCATCTGTATCTATCATCGACCTACCTATCAACTATCTACTATTCCCTCTTAGAGACCAATATGTCGAGGTCATGTAAGGTTGGACAAGCCCTTATAGGTCATCTCGAAGACTGTCAACCCGCAGGAGCTTGCCCTCACCCACCACTCTGACTTCCTTCTTCCTTCGCTCATGACATTCTCGCCAAGTCATCCTTCTGTTTCATCCGGGACCTTTACCTGGCTGTTCCTCTGCCTAGTAAGCCCTTGTGCCCCAGTCCTCGCTGCCCACCCTTGCCCGTGCCGCCCCTCCCCCTCCATCTTTCTCACTCCCATCCCCTGTTAGCAGTTATCTTAGCTATTTGTTGACTGCTTTGCACTCTGCGAGCCCCGTGGGGCATTGATCCTTGCCAGCTTGGCACAGGGCTGAATCCGGAAGTCCTCCCTAAGTATCATGGACTTCCTCTCCCTGCTCCCACACGTGCATGAAGGTTCTGGTGCTGGGGCGCCCCCTCCCTGCTCAGCCTCAAGGGGCTGAGGCTGCTCTTACCCCTAAAGCTTTGGGTTCTCCGGTCAGGAACGTCTCCATGGGCCGCAGGTCTGGCGGCTGGGTGACCCTTGACGTCGGCGCCCCCAGCGGTGGCTCCTCGAACTGCATAATCCCGGAAGGCTGGCACATGGGGGTGGGCAGGATGGCTGGCGCGGCGCGGAGGCCGCCGGCGTTGCTGGGCGGGATGACGGGCGGGATGACGACGAACACCCCATTGCTGGTAGGGGCTGCGGACATTGTGCTGAGAGAGCCTGAGGGTTCGGGAGATGATAATGACCACGGTGATTAGACATTTACACAAAGCTTGTTAGTTTCTGTAGCAACAGGCCTGCCCAGCAGCCCCCTAGTGATGCCACCACAATCTCTGAATGCCACCAGGAGACTTGGCAGGAGGCACGAAAGAATGTCAGAAGTCATGGGTCTCAGAGGCAGCAAGGCCAACACTTGAATTCGCCTCTCTCTGACTCCAAAGTCCTGCTCCTAATCTGTGTGCTCTATTAACACAGAAAGGACCTAACGCAGGGCATGCATTTAAGCTTCCTTTCCCCAGAGAGGGCAAGTGGCTTGCCCAAGAACACACAGCTAGTGTGAGGCAGGGCTGAGCCAGCTCGAGCCTCTTCACCTGCGCACCAGAACTCAACTGCCGTGTCCTGGGCCTCAGCCCAGCACCAGTGAGCCTGCCCATCAGCCTCCTGGGCAGCCCTGCGCTGGGAGACTTTCCCCTTGGCAGTCCCCACAGCTGTGCTATGCAGGAGCTATGGAGATGTGGCGTCAGCTCTACCCCTTACCCTGGAGATGGGTTGCCCCTGGGCAGGGCTGAGAGCCGGATCTCCCAGACTCCCTACAGTGGGATTAAGAGCAGGAACCTGCTTGGGGCTTGGCTGCCCCAGGGCCTGGCTCTGGAGCTCGTCTTGGCTGCTGTAGATACTGTGAGATGTGAGGCAAGCTGGCCACCTCCCCCTGCCTCAGTTTCCTGCCTATGGGGGTGTAATTGCGCTGGTACCACTCTCTAGGGTATGGTGTGAATGAGATCAAAGCAGCACACACAGCTGATAAAATCCATCCTCGAGCATGTGATTTGTTGTAATATTATCTACCTCAAGTGTTTTCTTAAAAATATGGACATAAACCAGATAGAGTAGTTAATGTGCATCTTTTCCAGTGCGAGAGAGAAACGGGGAAGGAACTGTACTTGCTCGGCAAGTTTTCTGTGACCAGAGGCATCCCCAGAGAAGGGGTCGGAGAAGGACAGGGTACAGGTTCACTGGCTGCTGAGAGTGATCTGTCATTTTGAGGTGCTTATAGCACTGCTCCCTGCAGCCTGGAACCGAGAATGTGGTACCAAGACTGAGCTAAGACTGCCCTGACAGTGGCCACTCATTTCCAGGCACTGAGAAGTGATGGGTAATAGAGGTGGCCACTGCTTAGAGCAGGCCTGGCATATTTTCCCAGCCAGTCAGGGTAAATATTTAGGGCTCTTTGGGGCCCTCTGACTTCCGTTGCAAATATGGGCACAACACAGACATTTGCAACACAGACACAGGGGGGGCATGGTCATGTCCCAATAAAACTTTATCAACAAAGTCCATGCACACTACAGGTGGACGGCAGACCCGACCTGTGGCCATGGCGGTCGTGGCTATGGCTTAGGACTCTGTTCTTAGGATGCTGCCTGGCACCCAGGGCATGCTCAGTACATTTTGGCTATGGCTTCAAGTCTAGTCTACAGTGATTCTTTGCGAAACTGTCTGGAGCGGGTCTGCATTTCTATAAAACCAGATGATGGCTGCTTGCTCGGCCTCAGAGGTTTATGAGAGGGTGAAATGTGGAAATGGAAAAGAAAGTCCTCAGCAATCAACCCAGTGCTGGGATGCCTTGGGGCTCACTTTGAGCGTTATCTTTTCAGAGCTGTGTGGATGTGGTCTAGCTCATCCTGCACCCCTCAGGAAGTTGCTAGAATCAGTGTGCCGAGCTGAACATTGGTTCAGTGATGGGAACCAGGTTATCAGGAGCTCATAGCCATCATGTTTTTGAGTAATCACGTTACTCTTACCTGGGAACACTTCAGATATCTTTCATTATTTTTTCCCCCTGACTTAAGTGGAAATTTAGATCGACTCTGACCCTGAAAAGTCCAGGCACAGTTTTTTTTTTTTCCCCTGCTATGAATGAAACACAGTTTTATTGTCTTCTATTTTTTGATCATATTACATTCCATATTTTTTATATAACAGTTTATTTTTCCATCATTTTGTGCATTTTTTCATCTCAGTTGTCATCCCTGAGGGCTTCCCATCACAGGCACAGGTTTTTAAAGACATTTGACCCCGGGGCACAAATGAAGTGGCTGCTATTCTGTAGCTAACATGTTATTTCTGATCCTCATGTGGACAGTTTGGTCATTCCTGAAGATGACCAAGAATCAGACCAGTGAAGGATGAGCTCAGGGGACCTGACTCAGTCCCAGTTCCAGTCTGTCCTTCTCCAAAACCTGCCCTTACCCTCCCGTCGCTGTCTCTCCACTCCCCAAAGTATCGGCTCTTTATCCATTGTTCCAGCGCTCCCTTCTGGTGCCTTAGAGTCCTGCTGGGCTAAATATACGTAATGGGGAGCACAGTCATGGGTCATTTAATGTTTTGGTCAACCACGGACCCCAGACGTGATGGTGGTGCCATGGCCTAGGTGTGTCCTTGGTGATCCCTTCTAGATATGTGGGCTCACGTCTATGCACCAGTGACGGCACTGTCCAGCAACACCTTGCTCAGCCTGAGAGCTCATTACTGAGTGTGCCTGTAAGGGCAGCAACATCTCAGACCCTGCCCGAGTCCCCCCCCCCCCCAGGGGGATGACGTGGAGAAGAACCACCAGGAACTCGGGAAGGGCATCTTTGCTGAGCTAGACCACAGGGCTGTTTGTGATAGCAGCATAATCTAGCTTCCCCTGCCTGTTACACTCTCCAAAAAATGAGTATAAATCAGAATCAGACACGGAGCCTGTATCTTCCAGGAGCCTGGGGTCAAGCAGGGGGAGAAAAGAAATTTGTCTTTCACTCCAGTAAATGACCAGTGATCATCTACCAAGCTTCGGGACTGGGAGTGCAAAGAAGAATTAAGACCCCATGTCCTGCCCACACTCTTGCCAGGTAGACTGGGCGCTCAGCAGGGAGGGGGAGTTGCTTGCCCAGCATGGAGCTCAGGGAAGTCCTCCACAGGACCTGGACCCAAACCAGAGGCCTCCAGCTGCGCCTCTTCTCTCCCCACCCCGCCCTGCCCTGTTCCTTTGCTTTTCTCTCTCCTTCAGCCTCCTTCTCCACCCCTCCCATGGCTCATTTCCCTCCCTGTCAGACGTTTGGGAAAAACAGGCAGTGGCAGAAAACAGGGCGGAAGGTCCCCAGGAAATGGGATGTGAGGGCGGGGGCCCAGCCCTGGGTCTCTGCCTCTGGCCGCCGCGGGAATATCTCATCCTGAAGGACAGACAGGAGTGGATTATTCCTTGCGCTTAGAGATGAAGGGAGGGAGGTTCAGAGAGGGCGCCGGTGTCTCCCAGGGTCACACAGCGCCTCAGCAGAAGAACAGGGGCAGGCCTGACGGCCTCCCAGGAGGGCTGCCATGGAATCGTCGCTCCTGCCATTTCCTGAGTGAGGGGACCAGCCCTTGAACTTCACCCCCGGTGTCCCGAAATGCTCCGGCACTCCCCGGAGTCCACAGATGAGTTCCTGAAAGCCCAGTGCATCGGCCTGTGTCTCCCTTCCTTGGGTAACTCGTGAAAACATCACCTATGTTCTCACCATCTCCCAAAAGTTGTGTCACACGGGAGAGATGGAAAGGACTTCACTTGAGACTGTGGAACAGACAGTTGGCAGGTGAGCGCACCCTGCTCTGCCTGCACCAGGGACTGGAGAAGATGGTGCCTGCACCCCAAGGGGGCTGGGGTGGCACTTGGGCCAGAGCCTCACCCCTCCCTGGGGAGAGGGAGCGCTTGCGTAATTAACAGCATCGCTCCTGGGCAGGGGGTGAGAAGGAGCTAACCTGAGACCTCGCCCTCCTTAGGAGAAGTGAAAACACCTACAAAAATAGGCTCTTTGCGACAAGGCTGGTGAAGCGCCAAGTCCCAGAGACTGCGCCCCCTGCAGTCTGCACCCTTTGGCCCCGGGGCCTGGCGTGGGCCCCCAACTCTGAGCCTCCCAGAACCAGCGGCATGTCCTCGGCGTGCATGTGGCCAGGGGACAGGCCCGAGTAACAGGGTGAGTCCACACCCCTCGCTCCGGGTGTTGGTGGGGGCAGCTGCCTGGGACAGAGGCACTGAAACGCTCAGTCCTTCACTGAGGGTGGGCTGCTCGCTGGTGAGCAGCGTGGCGCGCCCCGAGGGCACAGAGCTCACAGTGCATGGAGCGGCCGGCATGCAGCCAGAGGCCCTCCGAGGGCCCCCAGGGGTAGGCGGCATTCTGTGCATTTTGCAGCCTTGCACCCTGAGTGTGGCAGAGAGGGGTGCCCTGCGCCTTGAAGGTGGACACCACGTCCGGATGCTGAAACAGGTTTCCCGAGAGGCCCCAGAGAGGGGTGAGCGGAGCCATCCTGGCCCCATGGGACTTGCAAAAGGCAGGGGGCCTCTTCGAATAGAGGTGACTCGACAGCAGGCTCGAGAGTGGAGCTGAGAGAGGATTTGGGGGGACGCTTCTGAGCCCAGCCCAGTGGTGGGGGGTGGGCACACCCCGTTCACCTCCAGGCAAGCTGGAGAGGCTGGCTTTGGGGGCACCCAAGCCTGACATCACCCTGCTTTCTCACCTGCCGGGTTTCTGTGTTGAGGGAGGGGATGGGGAGAGCAGTTCACAGGAGAGAGACCCCAACACCCCTCTGCACAGGCGGCTGAAACTCAGCCAGCCTCAGGGAGCGTGAGGCCACCTCTGGAATTAGGGGGCAAGAACGAGCCCCCCAGCCCATCGTCAGGCCTAATGAGGGCTTGGCTAGGGCACAGCCCTTTGCCTTCTCTGGGGAAATATTTGCCCTAAGTCCCTTGCCAGTTCCTTTCTTCCAGGGAAAGGGCGGGGCACTGCCTATGGGTAAGAATCACCTGTCTGCCCACCTGGAGAGGGAGGAGGACAGGTGGAGAGGAGGCTCCATTTCCCTGCGGGTGGTTAAGGCCCTACGGTCTCTGGGACCCTGAGTCGCCCCAGGGCGGAGAAGACAGACGCCCTCCCTGGCCCCCCACCCCCCTGCGAGCAGGCCCTGGGTCCCAAGCTCTGTCCGCAGTTCCGGGGACTGGCTGCCCTGTCTCTGCCCGCTGGGGGTGAGGCCACCAGGCACCTCTGGTCCTCCCTGCTGGCTTGGCTGAGCCCCGACATGCCCCTGCCCCTCGCCCCCCACCCCGGGACTGGGTGGCCGGCTAGGGCGGCTGGTACTCACGGACTCACTGGACCGGGGCCAGCACGCCGCGCCCGCTGCCCTCGCCGCTGCCTCTGCCTCCCAAGGCTGCCTCTCCTGAGTTCACACATATCCATGTGAAAGGCGCTGTTCTGCGATTCGCGTGGGGCTTGGAAATCCGCTCTGCTGGGGAGCTGCCGCCTGTGGGAAGTTCTCAAGTCCCTCCCAGGCTCTGAGGCCTCCAGCCACTGACCCCAGGGACCCAGGAAGCTGCGGGGATCACTGGTCTCCGTCACAAGGGCCCTGGGAGGGCATCTAGGTCTTTTCTTCAATGTCTCTGAGGCCCAGAGAAGCACATGGCGCGGGTGGGTCCCGCTGTCAGTGTGGGAGCGGGGAGCAGGATCCATGCTGGCCTTATAGTGGTGCAGCTGGGCAGGGGACCCGAGGGTGACAGGGGGCTGCCTGACTTGGCTTTACCCACCCCTGGCCAGTGTGAGATCAGAGGGGGCAAAGGCGAGGGGCAGAGAGAGCGCCCGTGTGTGGGGGCGTGGGGGGATGGGGGGCCTGAACCCCTGTGAGGGTGTGTCAGCAGCCGAGGCCTCTACGGCTGTGTGAAAGCAGGCAAGTGCTTGAGCGTGAACACATGAAGAATACATATGGGTGTCGGTGCGCGCGAGTGGGGCGTGTGCGTGAGTGTGTGAGGTGGGTGTGCAAGCATGTGAGCGTGTGCCTGTGTGGCACGTGGGTGTGCGTGGCGGTGTGAAGGGGTGTGCGTGCGCACGTGTGCAGAGGCCCCGAGAATTTAGGCATCTGCTTCTGGATGCAGATTCTCACCAAACAAAACTCCTCAGGCCTCTGCCGAGTCAGGAGGACACACAGCCGCCCAGAGGCCCCGGGCCGCGGGGGCGCGCGGGGGCGCGCGGGGGCGCGCGCAGGGCACCGCTGGACCAGTTCTCGGCCGGCCCAGGCTCAGGTTGGCGGGGGGACTGCAAAACGGCCTTGTTCTCTGCCTCTCCACGTAGCTGAGAGGCCTCAAGGGGCTCGCTGCACAACGTGCGTGAAAACAATATGATGGCAGTGATTTTTTGAAAGAAAAAAGAGGTTGGAATTGATTGGCAAGAAGATGGGAGCGAAAATTGAAATGTCTTCCCATCCAGGAAAGGGAAGAAGCTTATGTCACTCTTTGGGGAGCAGGGGCAGGAATGGAGTTAAATTTTATCGGCTCGGGAGTGGGCTGGTGGAAAGGAGCATGGCCTTGACCGACGTCCTTTCTGAGTGCGGCTGGGCAGAGCGATGCCTGGCTCCCTGCAGGCTGCAGGTGCAGGCCCCAGCGCCACGCCGCCTGGCTTTGGAGAAGCCAAGTCCGAAGCGGGGTGCTCTGGCCCCAGCTGCTCCTTCTGATGCGGTGGCCACGGCCCCACGGCTGCACTCTCAGGGCCAGGTCGGACTGGCTCCCCGGCCCTGCCCTGGGCCGCCTGGCACCTGTTCTTCCTGGAAAATGCAGCCTCGTGGTCACATCTGGACTGGCCTGTTCGAGGATGAGCCCATGGAAGCGCCCAGTCGGCCCAGCTGTCCCGGGGTGTCAGGGCTGGTGTGGGCGTGGGGTGACCCCACGGCCCTCGGCTGAGCACAAACTCAAGTGTGAGTCCGGCAGGGCCACGCCACGGGAGCCGGCTGCCCGCCCGCCCACACAGCGCTTCTGGTGACATGCCGCTGATGCGTTCACAGCCGTCTCTGTAGGCGAGGACGATTCTGCCACCCCCAAACGTGACTTCCCCAGAGAGGCCCGTTGCCTGGGAGGGCCCGTCCTGGACAGACGCCTCCATGTTTGACGCCGTGGGCGCGGCCTCCCTCATGGTGGGGAGCCCCGTCGGCGGGCCCTGCGCCCACTGGCTTCTCGCCGCCCCAGCCTGCCCCTTGGCTGGGCTGTAAGAGGCGCCTGCAGCCTGCGGATGCCGCTCAGTGTCACCGGGCCTCTCCCAGGAGCACAGGGCACAAGCGGCTTCGACTTGTGAATTTGTCTCTTCTGTCTGATGCTTTTGCCCACTTGTCAACTTAGAAAATCAGAGACGGGCACAGTCTGCGTTTTTTAATGGTGGCTGAGAGGTGGCCAGGACCGCCAGGAGACTGTTGATGGACTTTAAAGAGAATAATACAAAAGTTAGCGGGAAGCGTAGGGTAACGAAGGGGAATGGCTGCCTGCGTTGGCCCAGCGGCAGCCCGCCGTGAGGCCGCGGGCCAGGGCGACTCCACGGCCATGCCACCTCTGCCACGGAGCAGCGTCCGTGGCACCTGTCTCGGAACAGTCAGCCACAGCTGTGGGGGTGGGGGCGCCTCAGCGGGGCTTGGCGTTGCAGTAGGTGAGGTTGGAGCTGGCGCTGTCCGCTGGGCTGGTGGTGCTGGTGGTGTTGGCGGTGCTGGTGGTGTTGGCGGTGCTGACAGTGACGGCGACTGGAACGGGTATGACGTTCTGCAAGGCAAAGGGTGTGAGGCATCATCTCCCTCTGTGGGAAGCTGCAGTACCCGGCCCCGCTCCTAGGCCTGGTGTTGCTCCTCCGTGCCAGAGGCCGGCCGGGAAGAAAGCGGGGCTGGCCTGCCGGTGCGCAGCAACAGGGCCAAGTCGGCACGGCCAGGCGCAGGGCAAGGCCGGCTGAGGTCCTCCTGCCGCTGGCCACTCCCAGGGAGTCTGCAGGGGTCCGCGGGGCGGATCAGACCGGAGTGCCCGACAGTCACGAGCCTCACGGTCCCGGAGAGTTGGTTTGAGCTGTGGCGCGCTGTGGCTGTGAGACACGGCCAACAGCTAGTCTGCAGAGATGGTTAACTGGCCGGGGTGATGAAAGGTAGTGGACGCTGGCAAAGCACCGAGGAAGCGACCCTGGCAGACTGGGCAATGGGCACCCCGTGATGTCGCGGGGAGCTCCCTTGGGTTTTGGAAGGTGACTTTTGGGTTTGGCTAAGGATCCACCATCTGGGACCGGGGCTCTTATAAAAGAGACTCTGGGGAGTTTCTCTGTTCTCCTTTTGCCGCATGAGGCTGAAAGAAGAAGACAGCAAGAGGACCCTCGCCAGAATCAGCCCTGCGGGCCCCCAGCTTGGACTTCCAGCCTCCAAAATGTGTAGTAGTTACAGCAGCCTGAGCTGACGAAGGCACTCTCAGGCCTGACTTCTCCCCATGTTCAGGCCCCCCTCATCCCCCCCAGAGCGTGCTCTGGCTTCTGGAGCACAGCCCAACACTCACCAAATATTTGTCACAGCACATATCCTGGCACCCCGCACAGGAGACCATGCAGGTGAGGCAGAACTCCAGCAGGGTGAACGGGAGGAGACCATTGGAGAGACATATCCCGCACAGCTGCCGGCAGAGAGGAAAGAAGGCGCCACGCGTCGGACACAGCCGGCCTGCAGGCCCACTGCGCACGTGCCTGCTGGGAGGCCCAGGTCTCGGTGCCTCTCGCCACCTTGCTGCACGAGTCCCTCCTGTGCCCACCAAGTTTTGCCCAGCGTCTTTGCTTGAGGCCTCTCCAGCCCCTGGAGTCCACTTTGCTGTTTGGCAACAGGCCTGCAGTCCCCAGAAATCAGTGCCCCCGAGGGCAGCCCTCTGTCAAGGATGGTCAGGGCCTGGGGGATCAACACTCGGCTCCTCTCCCTGAGGCTGGGGGTGACTGAGCCTTGCTTCCGTTGTGCCAGAGTGGTGATGGCCCGACTGCTCTCTTCCCCTCCTCTCTCTGCCCTCTTATCTCAAAGTGAGCCCTGGCGGGAGCTCAGACAGAGACTGGGCTCAGCTAGGGCCCTGGCAAGGAGCCAGAGCTCGTGGCTGAGGCTCAGGGAAGGGGTACCACGAGATGGGGGCCCCGGCTGTGCATGGCTCCCCGCTTCCTCAGGCCCCCCCACCTGCATCTGGCCTGGAGACTGCTCAGCAGGCTGAAGTGGGCCCTGCAGAGCTTCTGCTGGGACAGCCCAGGAGCTGGTCTGGCCCAGGCCCTCTCCCTGGCCAAGGCTGGCTAGAGAGGCCCCGCAGGGGTGGGGCAGGGACACAGGGAGTGGGCACCCCCTCCACCCTCCTCGCTCCTCTCTGCAGCAGAGGGTGGGCGCGAGGCGCTGCACCACCACGCACGCCCTGGGTCCACGCGGCCCCGACAGTCGGCGACCTTGGTTAGGACGGGCAGACCTTGTGGCTGGAGTCTGATGCTGCCCACACAGGGAAGTCGCTGCTGCATGGTGTTGGGGCCCTCCCTAGGCTTGTGGGTGCCACCATCTGCAAGATACCAAGCTGCAGCAGCTGGGCTCAGCTTGAGGGTCCCCCTTCAGGACTGCCCACACTCCTGTGCCCACCGACCTCCTCTGGGGAGTGCTGAGAGCGTCAGGTTGCGTCAGCTGTGGGGCAAGCCAAGCGACCTTGGCCCTCAGGCGCACACAGGAGTGGATGCTGGTCATGTTCTGCCCAGGGCCTGCTGCACTTGCCTCGCAGGCCTCCACCCCACGCACTGGCTGGAAGCCTGGCCATCGGTGCTCCTCAGAAACAGTTAGCAGTCGGCGTGGAGGGAGGTTGGTGGGCAAGCATCCCAGTTCTCTCACCCCAGGATAGGGTGAGAGATACATGGCCTCACTGCCTTCAGAGCTCCCGAAGCTCTGAGCTCCAGAGAAGACACCCTTTTGCTCCTGTTCCCTCCCCTTAGGGCTCCCTGGGATAGCCGCAGACTTGTGCCTGAATTCCTGTCTCAACACCTGCCAATGAGAGAAGAGTCTCATTGGCAGCTAGGTGGTCCCCTCTCTGCCTTCCTGGGCAGGTGATTTGATGCACTGAGTGTGCCTGTTACCCCTGTTACCTGCTGCCTCTGAGTAGAAGCAGGACAGGGATGTGTGTGGGGCGAGTAGGGAGGGCTTCAGCTCTCTGAGTCTCTGTGCTTGTCATTCCTTCCTGTTCTGGAATAAGCTCTGAAGCAAGTCCTTCTGATCTTTTGGAGGAAGTGGGCCCCAGGCAGCCCATATACTTACAGGTTTCGAGACCCCCAAGAACAGTTCTACAATGTGAAGGCAGATCCCCAAGAACGAGATGATGCTGCTGACCACGTTCATGCTCACACTGCCGCAGACCTGGGGAGGCCGGGGGGTGGGGGTAGGGGAGAGGCGGTGAAGCAGGCAGGCAGGGGTCTCGGGCAGTAGGAGAAGCAGAGTCGTGGAGGCAAGGGAGGGTCAGGCTGAGTGGAGAGGTTGGTCTGTTCCCAATGAGGAGACAAGATCGTTCTCTATCAACATGTAGAGTTGTGTAGGGCAGTGCTGTAGTTGGGAAATTAACCCCAAGAAGCAGCTGAGGAACAGCCAAGGAGACCTGAAAGGTGGGGCTGAGGGAGAGGACGCCTCAGAGCCTTCCAGAGACCCAGGGAAATGGCGGCGCACGTGTGGCTGACTGTTGAGACGGAGACAGCAGTGCAGGGCTGCAGGGGGATTCTGAGCCCTGTGTTCGAGATTTGGACTCTGATTTGTTAAAGGTGAGCATGCCCCTCACTTTCCCCCATGTCCAGTCAAAGGAAAGGGCAGGAGATGCCTTAGAGGAGAGCTGAAGTGGTCCACGTTTCCATCACCTTGGCCCACTTCCTGCAACCTCAGGGCACCTCTAGGCCCCTGCTGTGACTCCTTGTGCTAAGTTTCTGAGTAAAATGCAATGGAGCAAAACCCCCGCCGCCCCTGGAGTCAGTGAGCATGGGGTTCAGTGCTCGTCCACGCCCCCACTATGTGATCCTGGGCATGTCCCCTGACCTCCCTGTGCCTGTTTCCTCCTCTGCAAAAGGAAGGCAATGCAACCACACAGGTGTGTAGGGGCTCAAGCTGTGCAGCCGCTATTGACTGACATATTCTGGATAGAGGCGGAAGTGCTCTGAAAAATCAGACTTTCCATGCTCACTTATGTTATGACCTCCCTTTTTTGTTTGATTATAATATTGAAATATTCTGAGCAACCTTCAGCTTAAAGTTGGATTGCCTCAGCCTCATAAGGCGCTACCTGGCCCTGACAAGCAAGCACTGCACCAGGGAGAGAAATTCCTCTTGAAGTCAAAAGTCATTAAACTACTGGCTGATTAATAAAAACAAATGGCTGTTACTGCAAAGTCTCTTTCACTGCCAGATGGAGGAAAACCCAAATCTCATCACTCTATCTCACATAGCCTTCTATTCAGTTCCTAAAGAATCACTCAAACTTTCTACTATCTAGTCTTTAGATATGGAAATTCAACTAAGTCTCCTACTCAGAGGTAATTAAGTTTTATTCTGTCTAGACTTCAAGGATACTCACTTAGACTTTCTAACAAGTTTTTCAAAGAACTTTACTGTAATTTGATTTACAAAAAATTTTCTCTTCCTCCCCTCACTTTACTTTACCCCTTAGGGTGTCTCAATGAGAATGAAAGCCCTTAAGTAGTTTAAGGGACTTTATTTTGGTTAATCTTCACTGTGGCAAATATAGTAATATTAGTCTTAAGCTTTGTGAATCTATGTACCTCTTTTAACCTTGATAGATTGATTTTAAAAATGTTATAATCTCAACTAAAGGTCCAAATGACCCTAGACTATTCTTAGAAAAAAGGGGATCATGATCTCAGTCCATTTCACATGCTAATGTCACCCCCCTGCCTGCTTGAAGTGTATAAAATAAACCTCTGCTGAAGGCAGAGCAGGAAGACTTGCGCCCAACTCTGACTCCCGTGTCTTCCTCGCACCAGCTCCCCATTTTCCCCTTTCCCCCCTTTTTCTAGGATTCTCCGCTCACCGATGCCGCTTCCACCTTGAGACCCTGCCTGTTCTGCCCCCCAATAATCCGTGATAGGGGACAAAGAGTCTCTGACAGGGGCCAGTGCTATAAAGGATGCAAAAGCCGAAGCCAGGGCCAGGCCACCCCACTGCTCTCAGGCCTCTTTCTTG